ATGATCAAGTAATGGGTGTTATTGCTGAAAATGTTATCAAGAATAATGATGAAAGCTGTCACCATACAGTTAAAGAGATTGGTATTAAAATCTTAATAGTATGTCTTAGTTTTGTCAACTGATCACTCAATGATTAGTTTTCTCTAAACAACTTGTATAAGATGGCTTAAAAGGGATCCCTTGATAGACTTCTAGTCACACTAGATGTGGTAACTTGAGCCTACAGAAATTTATACCAAGTTCTCAGTTAGTCAACGGCTATCATCATTATTATAGAGCCTGGCACAGATGTTTGTTGGACCAAGTCGCCATCTACATTAGCACAATGAGATGAATAGCAAAAGAGAATTGAATATAATGTAGTTGTTATGATGAAGAGAACCATTGAACAACGAGAATGTGGATCGAAAAAAACTGACTGAAAAGGTATCATGGAACAGTGGAATTCATGGTCGTATTCTATGTTGTCTATGACTCACTAAATGAATATCTGGTGATTAAAACTCACCTTTACCAAGTCAAATTGTAGGATGCTGATATCTCTCACATTCCTACACAGACTGTCCAACACCGGCTTGATTATATCAATCATCCACTGAATACCAAGATTATGCAAGAAATACCTTATTGTGACAAGAAATCAGCTCTAAACCGTTTTCAGATTCTTTATCAATTTATGATGTGGAGAATTATCAACATTCTACTAGTTTGATCGAGTTGATGTTGTTGGTCATGTTCACAAAAACATAAGTATGTCTTAGAAATATATACAGACAAGTATAATTAACGGATAACTCTAATCTATCAGAAGGTCTTATAAATATCTCACTGATCCATATATCACGCATTATCTAAAAAAGAAAAGAATGTAAACTATGCATAAATTGATTTTAAAATTCAGTTGATGTGTTGAAAAAAATACAGACCAAAATGAAAAATAATTCAAATCAATGAAACACAAATGACTGAATGTTACAACTACATGTCCCACTACTACTGCATTGATATACACGTAAGAATTCAGGGAAAATATCAACGAAGCATTAATAAATGAACTAAGGATTATGTTTTGAAACAATTTCAAAAAACAAAAAATCATAAATTCGCCTGATGGTTCGTTGAAAGCTTTGGATAAGGATTGATGAAAATGGTGCAAAGTATTCGATTTTCATCTTAAAATTACAGTATTACTTCATACTTACCTCCATATTTGATCTTTTCGAACAATATTTTCAATGCTTAGCCTTTTTAATTATCATTGCTACTACATTATTTCAATATCTTAGGCCACTCATCTCATTGTGATAATATGGCATGACAATTGGAGCCAACGCATATTTGTGCTGGGCCCTACGTTGACGACTGTCGAGAAATTACATTATTACGTCTACGGGAAGAAAGGAAAATATGAGGCGAAGAAAAAAAGAGAAAATAAGTCACAAAAGTACCAGTTGAGGAAGTTCACTGGTACTAATTAGAGATTACTTTGAACGTAGAGACTATGATAGTCTATCATCATAGGTTCGACTTTTTTCCAGTTGTCAACTAATCCCAGTCAATCTAACATAAAAACATAGCACACACAATGTCGTCCACTATATTAGTGCCCATATTGCATCTTGATTGAGAGAATCCAATCAGCACTAAACAAATACAATGGCCACTACTTAGTGATCAGTCAACTGCAAAAAAATATTGTCACCTGATCCATATAAAATTCAATACTCCGATTTATTTGCATTGGTTGCTTGAATGTTATAAGCTGCTGTTGATCAATGTTTTGGTATACGTGCAGGACACTCAACTGACGAGTTCTAAATAGGTTAAGACGCGGGTCCTGCAGATCACAGAGTCTTATTGTGAATGGGTTACGTGTTATTACTACCGCCAACACTGACACCTCTTCGCTACATGATTCAAGTCAACATTCAAGGAAATCACATCATCAGTTTCTCCTATCATTTTCAAATAACTTCAATTAAATATATTTCTGAAGAAGTCAGTAACTAGAACTAAACAGGAGAATAATTAGTTAACACTTTTACGAAAAATTATGATAACCATTAGTAGCGTAAATAGGTAGATGGTTACTAAGGGAAATATAAAAAAACAGTAACGAATAACTAAATTGTATGATAATATTCAGTTGTATTATATGTGAGTACACGAGATAATTTACAAATCCCATGACAATGCATTAAGACAAACAATAAGACATGGGACTAATAATTAAGTTTTCAAGAATATTAAGATGTTTCAAGCATGGTGACATCACTAATGAAAAATCAAGTTCCAACAAAAGTTACGATTACAGATGCAAAATTGAATATATATATATATATATAACAGAGATTTGTTTGTGTGTATTTGAAGGAGAGAGGAGGCTATTAAGTACGGCAGTTAAAATTTTGAAATTTGTAAACAAGCTATCTACTAGATGGGGAAAATTAACCTAGAGCAATTAATTTTTCAAAGTAGTGTTAGAAGAAGAGGCTGTTAACTAATGATAAAAGCATGAGTAAATATACACAAATTCACACACACAAGTGTAATACAAATACAACAAAAGATCAAAACTTGTACAAACCCATCTCTTTCTTATAGACATGAGGAAGGATTCAAAAAGAACTTTACATACATATATAACTCATAGGTGAGGAATAACAAGTCAATGAACTTTAGTACTGAAAGGACAAATAAGAGGTGGAGAACATGTGTTAAAATTTAATGAGACAGTAAGCAGTAAGTGCATTCGACAATGTAATTTTAAATATGAAATTGATGACACGAACAAGACAAGATCCAAGCACAATATACACGTCATAATAGTATGCACAACATGTGAAAAGTAATTTTATTTATATATAGATATACGTATATATGATCAGTTAGACTATGAAGATTTAAAGAAAGAATGACCGTATATGCAGCGCAAGCTTGTGAAAAGAATTCAATTTTCTACAAGACAGCGACCAAAACACCATAAATTTTGGTAAATTTCAAATTAATGGGACTAAATTGTAAATAGAATATATATATTCGACGAATGAAAAGTGTACAATCTGAAAATTAATATAAATATTCGAAGGTGATGATACTTGAAAGTAGTGTTGAATAAAGAAAGAAGACGGTGAAAACATGGGTTGGTGTAAAATAATTTTGCCAGAATTCGTATACACATAAGGATCCAAGAAAAACCACGAAAGAAACTATCAATATACATTATACACACATTTCTTTGTATATAAATATAATTACAACTGGGATATATAGTATCCAGCGAAATCTCACTTCCAAAGGTTGAACACTGTACATGTGTATCAAGTTAGACAAACCATATATATATATATATATATATATATATATATATATATATATACCAACGGTAACAAATTGAGATTGAAGAAACAGGCAGACAAACAGAGGGGACTAGTTAAATAACAAAATTTACATTTATATATATAGATAGATACAAAGAGTGGCTTTCACTACATGAATAAGCACTGAACCAAAAGCTTAAACTAAAGCTAAGAGATAATGCTTTGTTCATATCACAATGAAACTTACATACACAAATTAATTTCAATGTATTCAGCCAAGAGACATTTACAAACAAATAAATAAACGAGGAATGGGGGAATTTCCAAGTTACAATTGTCTATGAAGCGATCCGTATGAGAAAACGTATGTCAAAAAGATGTTACGTGCTGATGATGATAGTGAAGTAGAGATGTGCAAGTAGTAGTTCAAAGCGATTGCAAACACGTAATGAATGACAAGAAGCGAGATGTATTGTTGGTGTGGTGTTGTATTTTACAATAAAGACAAGAGAAAGAAAGCTAGTTAGTGTACATTATGTAACGACAGAGTCGAACGACTAGTTGTTGAAGAAAAAAATTCAAAAAATGAGAGAATTATAACGGTCCACAAACGGTATATATATATGAAGAGCCAAAACTAAACTAAGAAATGTATTTGGAATATGGGCAAATAAGAAATTAATAATAAACAGTGCTCCAATTCGCTTATCCCTGTTCGTCGTTACACTGTAGTAGTAGCATAAAGCAACACAGATTATCATAGTTGCAATAGTAATAAACTCTACGTGCGATGATTAGATTTGTCATTTGATGATTTGTGTGTAGTTGTAGTTGTTGTGGTGGTAGTAGAAGAATCGTTTTGTTGTGATGTAGTCATACCATTGCTTTCAGAGTTCGGACCAGCTGATTTGTTGACCGCTGGGGTCCCACCATTATTACTATTATTGGTGTTATTACAACTGCCATTGTTGTTACCACTGCCGTTATTATTACTACTATTATTGGAAGTTTTAGAAACATGATTGGTGGAGGAATTATTTGAAACTGACAAATTAGTATTGTTATTATTACTTGTATTATTATTATTACTGTTATTATTATTTGCAGATGAGCTTTTCCCAGTACTGTTGTTATTCCCGGCTACATTGTTATATTTTTCTAATTTAGCTATAATATGCTTGCCATAATTAAATTTGCGTAGAACATTTTGCATAGGACGGATCCGATTAATTAGTACACGACGTTGTTCAGTATCAGCTAATTCTAGCATACGTTGAACTACATAATTTGCATATTGGTCTTTCATCATATCAACTAATGATGAAGAGATGTTATTAGTTGTTACTGACGAAGCGTCTCCATTAATATTCACATTAGAGATTGGATGTAAAATTTCTTCAATTAATACAGCTCTTTCAGATGGTACAGCGTTGGCAATTGCTTTCTCCATAACATTCGATGCAAATTTATGAGAACTTAAAGCACATACACGACCACGTAGACTTTGAATAATACGTGATTTATCCTCATTCGAACCATGTTCTAAAACATGCTATAATTAAATGAGCAACAAACAAAAATATACATAGAAATGCTTTATATATATATATATATATATATATATATATATATATATATATATATATATATATATATATATAATTTAACAACTATGGAGTAGAAATTTGTAACATTCACAGCTTCCTATTCAATATTAGTTGAAATCCGAGATGCTTAATAGTATAATTGGACTATGTCGTTAACGAGGTAATTATGCATCTACTAAAAGGTCTAATGGGCTTTTTGTTTTCTAGGTGTGAAACACTTTAATAGTCTTATTGTTACAGAAGATTTGTCAAACGAAAAAAGGAATAGATTAAATACACGATAAATGGAAGATATAATATAGCTGAAGTGTATAGACAAGATTATATCTTAATTAAGTTCAAAACTTCATGACTTAAGACATTATTCAATGGCATACTTACATACAGTTTTAGCTGCTGCTAACATACACATGAGAGCCGATTACAATGAATGATCTTGTTAATAATTCTATGATTATTTGCAATAATAAAAATTCTACCGTTTTAAAGTCAATGCTACACCATAATTAATTTATTAGTCATAATCAAACGGGTATTGATCAATTTAATATACCACACCAAAACCACAAAATGTTTTGCAATGACAAGATGCCCGTAAAAACGATTAAGCATTAAGAACATGGTTCGAAAAGACGGAATGAAATGATAGTATATAAGGAATGTTGAAACTTAGTATTTACAGGAGGATAAAGATTAGATGCATTTCCACGTCACTGTAATTGATCTCGGTTATCGAGTGGATCGACATGGCTCAGACCAACAGTGCATAACTTCATGAAATGATCCACATTGTTTTCAGTCGTCACTAGCTTTCTTTGAAGTTACTCCTAATCTATCCAACACAACAGGTCGATGCAGATAGTTGTTGGGAATCTGTACGACATGGTGTCGGGGTATGAACGAAAGCTGCAAAGGGCTGGCTTCTACTGGTTCTTCAAGACTCTGGCTGGGGTCCGAGAGATAATGCAACACAGTGGCTAGAGACGTTATCATATATGGCTCAGAATATAAGCTAGTGGCTATCCTGTTGTAACTTTTTTTTGCGTCCTTCATAAAAAGTGGTTATATCTTCCTTAACTGAAAGAATTCTTCTGGTTGAACCTTCCCGTTTCCCCCATTATTATTATTATTATTGTTACACTACCTACCTTACACTAATCTGGTCGTCATCGTTCTTCTTTTTTTCTTTTACGCTCCTTACCTTCTTTTTTTCTCTTCCCATTCTCATTGTTCTGTGTGGCGCATATATATTTGGTGCCCTCTTGTACCAATATTTATGCGTTAAAATAAATAAATAAATATTAAAAACGCAAATACGACCTCATTCGATGGAGATTCATAATCTAATCAATCGGTTTGCTTTAAATGTTGACTGAGGTAATATTGCTAGTATGAAATAAATAAATCGACAATATTGTATGTACATTTTGATGTTTGTTGTAGGTAGGGAATTGTAAAAGATTGATTTAATCGACACAAAATTAATAAATTATATATGGTTTAACATAATTACATTATTAAAGTCTTACTTGAATGACGTAATTGCCATACTGATCTTTGACCAAATGTTCCACACCTTTGTGTAGTTCATCAAGAATAGGACGTGTTTGTTCCGGTAGGCAATGTTCCAAAATGCGCTGAATAACTCGACAACCATAGGGATGTGATGAAAGTAAAACCACCTTAACAAGGTTGAACAGAAAAATAATAATCAGGTATATTTTGTTATTTAACGACAGAAGTTTTATCCTGAAAATACCGCTTCATCAGTGGCCGAATATGTGGGCAAAGTGAGGGGCATATTCTTAGTGCTCTGAGAAAGTTTTTTAATCAAGATCAACTTGTAGTATTCAGAAATAAGTTAACGAGCGCTTTCTTCTCAAGGTTCTAATATCCTTCAACATAGACCGGCAAGAGGGAATAAAATTTATTATTTATTTAAACACATAAGTATTGGTACAAAGGAGGAATATATGTAGGCAAACCTTTCAGAAAGGAGGTGACAACCCGGGCTATTCTACATGATATTGTAAGGCCAGGCAGATTATATGTTGCCCGAAGGTTGCATGATATGTAAAAGATGGGAGAATGGTAAGAAAAATATTCATCAAGCCAAAATCACCACCCACATATTTGTGCCTGAATCAGTTCAGTAATATGTATACCTAAGAGGTGTTAACATTATGATTCAGCCTATGAGAGATAAAACTTCCTACGCGTCCTTAGTCTTTTTATTCTGAATAGCTGTTTAAATAATTATCAAAAAGTGTGTGCTATGATTGAATCAGAGATTTATTTATTTTAACACATAGATATTGGTACAAGGAGGCACCAAATACATATGCGCCACATAGATCTCATTTGATATGTGTCAAGGCTGTGATACTGCCCGGGTGCCCAAACCGAAGTAGTTGGTTTTCTTAAATGGCCACACTCGGAGCCTTCGACCTGAAGGTCTGGTCCATAAGGCAGTGGGGAATCATAAGGAGATGCAGTCCCATGGCAGCCGGTGACCAACGATTGGTTCATGCGCCATTTGTCTCCTCAGGATACTGGAGCCCATGTGCACCAATGGTTTGGAATCAGGGTTTTCCAACTCCTCTAGGTGGGCTCTCTGTGTCCACCGACCCGGTTGGATGGGTATGCTTCAGTGATACATCACTCAAACTAGACATTACCAGAAATGGAGAAGTGCTATCTAGGTTACATACAGTAATAGACTTAGATATTTCCAAGACTTGTCGTTTACAGAACATATATTAAAACAGACCTCTAAGTCTCAACGTCTAATAGGTTACATAACTCGAAATCTTTACAACAATGAGTCACGTATTCTAATGTACAAAGTTTGTGCTCGTCCTCTTCTAGAATATTGCACGTTTATTCTTAGCAGTGCGCGTATAAATGATAAATTAAGGCTGGAATCAGTACAGAGGCGATTCACACTTCGTATTCTTAGAGCTGATTGTACCTTAACTTATAATTCTAGATGTAATAAACTTGGGCTAGACCCTTTATGGAGGAGGAGACTAAAACTAAATCTTATCTTTTTCTTCAAACTACTTCATAAACTATCGTTTACATCCAATCACGTGATTCAATATGCAGAAACTTCTCATTATGACATCCGTAATTCCTTGACACTAGTGAAGCAAACTCATTCTAAATCATCTCTCCATATGAATTACTTCACCTGTAAATTTTCTAGACTATGGAATAACCTACCACAATCTATCCGCATGATAAAATCACTCCCATTATTTGTTCGCTGCATCGATGCATACTGCTCCTCTGAAAATGCATTGAATGTTCTAGCACCTGGAAGTCTATCTCATTCCACAAGTGATATTTTAGGAACTTTAAATGTCTAGCCATCTTTATTAGTGAATCCCTTAAGTAAAACCACTTACTTGTTGTCAATATGTTAACACCGTCCCTAGCAAGTTTAACTAATTTGAATAACGTCAACAGTATATCACTGTGTCACATGACACACGCATTTTGGTAGACCTGATTCATATATTTTGGTAATTACTGCTTAGTCGTTCCGTGCTCTCTATTTTCGTTTTAATTTCTCTAGTCGTAGATAATTATCATCAATTCGATCTGGCACACGAAATGACCTTAATTACTCCGTTAATAAATCAACAGGCTGTCCATTTAAGAAATATTAAAAATTCCCGGCTGATGCATTGGATCGCTGTAATACATGTACTACCCAAACAATTACTGAACTTGTATACTTAAAACGTTCTTCTATCACATGTTTGTTCAGTACATCTAATGTTACTATTTATATCAAATTGATCATGCCTGTAAACTGGCGTGAATTCTGTAATTATTATTTTCAGAATATAAATTATTATTATTATTTTTGATAGACAAACTAATCCATACATTTTCCATTCGAATACTTAACAAATCAGATGAATATTAAACAGAAATTTATCACTGTAATCAAACATTATCGGTAATGAATAGACGATTATGATTATGAGTTATTATTATTACTATTAAAACAAAATTAGTTATTATTATTAAATTGCCGGACATTCGCGTTTCGTCCTCTCAATTCCGTAAACACCCCCACCACAAGGAGGCAGTGAGTAGGACATCCCTGGCAGGGGCCATATACGCGTGGCCATGTGAGAGCATTTGGAGACGGAGAGCGGACTCTACCCACTCTCGGCCGTACCAGAGCATTTGGGGGCGAGGAAACCACGAAAGATGACCAATGCAGAAAACAGTTATACGTGGATGGCATACCTTAGAAAGTATTTGATATTTTTAAGGCATGAAAATTTAGTCGGTCTTGTGCATGAACACGTGATCATGATCACTCCGGGACACGAACCCAGTACCATACCATTCGCTTCAATGGGAAGATTCAAACAACCAATACAAAAGTGAATAAACTTCACAACATTTCGGTCAGTCAGCTACAACGTAGAACCACGCACATATATGCATCGATACAAGTTGCCATACCTCATTAACTAGATGTACTTGACTAAAATTAGTTGTAAGACACAAAAGTAAAGTACCATAGTCTAAAAAAAACTGATCAGTGACAGTCGCCATGACCGAATGGCAAATAGTGAACATTCAATACTTTAAAAAGCAGAATGATAACAATATAGTCTTTTGTGCTCAAATCGAAAGATCTTATCGAAAAAATGATATGTGATAATTAAGTTTCTGCAGTTATTCATCAACTACAAACAGTCAAGTACAATTAGGAGTCAGTCAGTCAGCTGCGACATAGAACCACGCACATATATGCATCGATACAAGTTGCCATACCTCATTAACACAACAAGATGAACACCGGATTCATAAAAGTAGTTAATTCAGAGGTGGTAATATATAAAAGAAAGATTGCATATAAGGATATAGTACAGGAAGAAAGAATTAATTCGTAGAAAGAAAGATATGAAGCAATTTTAATCTCTCAGTTTAAGGGAAGACAAAGAGGGTATACACCAACGCCATTGTGATCTATTCTCAGCCACGTCACCAAGTCTCCAACCATTGGTTACGAAAGCCACGCGGACCCCAACCAAGTAGTCTGCATCTACCAACATGGCTTGGACTAGAAGTTCGTCACTTCAAGCACTGATGCCATGTTTTGGTTTGGCCGCCCCTAACCTTCTTCCAACCATCTCCAACACCGGTTAGCATTGCACGTCATGGTAATCGGTGTTCAGGCATACGTAACACGTGGCCCAACCATCTTACTCGATAAAGATTCACAACCTCACCAACTGATTTACCATCATTCCCTAATACCCTGAGTCTAACCTCACTATTACTTACCCGGTGATCGCAGCAGACGCCAGCAATATTTCTAAGGCATCTGTGCTCAAACACTAGTAGCTTACGAGTATCACCTACTCTTAATGGTCATGTTTCGCTGTCGTAAATTAAAACAGAACGGACTGCCGCGCAGTATACTCGTCCTTTTATTGATAGACGGATATCTCGTCTTCGCCATAGGTGACGTAAGGTGGCAAAAGCCAAACGAGCTTTTCGAATGCGTGATGAGATTTCGTAAGACACCAACACATTAGGGCTGATCAGACTTCCAAGATAAGTGAAGTTATTAACGCGTCCGACTAATTCACTCCATATCCTTAGTTCAGGTGTTGACGCAGACCAGTCCGGAAGCAACAGCTTGCATTTAGAGGGAGAGAAGCGCATTCCAAACATCCTGGTATTGTTGCTCAGTGCTACCAGAAGACTGCATTTTATCAGAGTTTCCACCAAACAGGACTATGTCATTTGTGTATTCTAAGTCGATAAGTGGACCTCCTGGAAGGAGATCAATACCCGAGAATCCAGTCGACGAGAATGTTATTTTCAGCGGCAGCTCTATGATGAAGTTGAACAAAAATGGTGATAGTGGACAGCCTTGACGGAAACCACTTGAGGTTGCTAAAGCAGATGACAGTTCGTCATAAGCACTGACTCGACTGGCAGTGTTCGAGTAAAGAGCCTTCACAAGGTTTATGTACTTCTGAGGTACATCTTTCAATGACAGACACTGACACAGAATCTCGCGGTCTACAGAGTCAAATGCTGCTTCCAATTTAAAAAAACTAACATTGTCGGACGCTGATGAGCATGCCTGTGGTCTAAAACCTGATGAATGGTGAATATGTGATCAATACAGCCACGATCAGGTCTGAAGCCAGCCTGATTTTCTCGTGTCTGCAGTTCACGAGTCTTAGTTAGGCGTCCGATAATTATTGAGGCTAGTATTTTAGATGCTATATTAGTCAAACGAATCCCTCTATGGTTGTCACAGGATGATTTTGACCCCTTTTTAAATATTGGGATAATCAGTGGTTGCAACCAGTCAGATAGGATTATGTCAAACTCCCAGATTTTAGCTAAAATATTAGTCAACCTAATCGCTAAAATTGGATAGCCATCCTTAAAGACCTCTGGATCGAATCCATCTGGACCAGCTGCCCTTCCTCGTTTCAGATTAACTATAGCATTTTGAACTTCAGCTAAAGTTTTGGGACCTACTTCAATGTTCCATTCACACTACCTGGGAATGGAGGGTAGTTGTAGAGTAGCTGAATGCCAGCTGAACTGTCTTCTAAAATGTTCTGGGAGCAGATGAGAGTGTCGCCTTTTTCCGAAATAGTCTGACTTACACCTGACTTATTAATTCCAGTTTCCTTTATTAGTCTGTAAAGCTGTCTTGTGTTCTCTATAGCCGCCGCCTTTTTCATCTCTTTTGCTTTTGTTGCCGACCACTGCTCACGGTCGTTTCTTAGACTTTTGCTTAACCTAGAACTCAATGTTTACAAGTGACTTAAAGATATTTTTGAATTCCTATTATTATGTTCGTCATAGACATTTATTTTTTATTTGAACACATGAATATTGGTACAAGAGAGCGCCAATATATATGCGCCACACAAAACAATGAAAATTCGAAGAGAAGTAGAAGAAAAAACTAAGGAGCGCAAAAGAAAAAGAGAAGGACCGATAGAAGCCAGTCCTTTGCAGCTTTCTTTCATACCACAACACCATGTCATGCACTGACCACCTCTCCGCTTCTTCCAACCTGTCCCAGAGTCGGCAAATAATGCACGACGTGGAATTCTCTGGGACGACATTCGGAGAACATGTCCAAGCCACCGAAGTCGGTGTTTCACGATGGTGACACCAATTGAATTATCATCTCTGTGCCCGAACACACGATGCCGAACCTCTGCATTACTGACATGGTGTTGCCACTGAATGTCAGCAATCCTTCGGAGACAGCGATGATCGAACACAGAGTCGTCTAACGTCCTCAACTCGGAGAGGCCAGGCTTCACAAACATAGAGCAAAACTGCTCTCACCGACGCGTTGTAGATCCGACCTTTTGCAGCTAGACTAACATCACGAAGGCGCCAAAGATGGCCCAGATTGGCATAAGCCGCTCTGGCTTTCACTATTCGTGCATTGATCTCATCACTCACACCTCCACCAGCACTTATGCAGCTACCCAGATACACGAACTTCTCGACTACGTCTATCTGCTCACCATCCACGGTGAGTACAGGATTGGAATCCTGCCAGTCTTGTAGGAGTACTTTGCACTTCGAAGGTGCAAAGCACATACCATACCTACGGACACTGATTGCCAACTGATTAAGTGCGGATTGCATGGCTTGGGCATTATCGCAAAGTAAGACAATATCGTCCGCATACTCAAGGTCGAGAAGTCTTTCTCCAGGCAACAGATCCACACCACCATTACTTACATTCATCAGAACTGTTTCCAGAATGTCATCGATGGCAAAGTTGAAGAGGAATGGTGAGATTGGGCAACCCTGCCTAACCCCACTACTCGAATGGAACAATGGAGAGAGGTGGTTGTATGCCCTCACTCTGCCTGAGGTGTTTTTATATAGGGCTTTTAGGATGTTAATAAACTTCTCAGGCACACCCTTCTTCAATAGACAATCCCAAAGAACAGTCTTGTCTAACGAATCGAAGGCAGCCCTGATGTCAAGAAACACTACGATTGTTGGCCTTTGATAAGTATGGAGGTGTTCTAACATTTGGCGGAGGGTGAAGATATGATCAATACATCCTCGACCGGAACGAAACCCAGCCATAGACAACGTAGGACCTGCCATAAATCTAAATTAGTTCAATGTGTCACACTATAACAGCATAGTGAATATGAAATGGAGAAAGCAAAATGGTCAACACCCTTTACTACTTCAATCATTAACGTTATATTACGAGTTGAACCCAATCAGTTCTGAAGCAACATGTTGAATTTGAAGAATGAGAAACAAACCTCAAACATTTTGAAATGGATTTAAACGAATATAAACCAGGTAGTCATCAAGGCAAGAAATATACCAAAAATAACTTTTTCGGTATTGTAAAACGGATGAGAAACGAGAAATACTGAAGGGGAAACATACTTGGCCACGAAAAGCTGAAATAATAAAATCAAGTTCTGAAGGTGGAACACATTCAATGCATTTTTGAATAACGTGATTCCCGTTTTGATCTTTTACACACCGTGTTACAAATGGTCTCAGTTCACCAACTATGTGTATTTTTGCCTCGGCTGGTACAGATTCTAATGCTTTTTGTATAACACGACAACCATACATTTGAGTAGCAAACTCAACAACGTGACCTTGTAAACGTTGCGAGAGAAGCTAAAATAGGAAAGAGTTATGATTAGGAAGCTAACACTGACAAAAATATACATTATTGATCACACTGAATTATATTTACGCTCCAATAAAAATAACTCTCCTCTAGGTGTTCCCTGGTATATATACGTATGAAGATCAATGTTCTAATCGGTAACCAAGTACAAGTTTATACGTTCGCCAACGAGATCACAAGTTATATGGTTTTGTTATTAAGTGTTAGTCTTATTTTTCTTAAAGGATAGCCTCGACAATATTTTTAAAAATTTATATTCTCGTAAAGACCTTTGTGGCTATCTGATTGGCCGTTGTTACTTTTAGTTTGTTAATTTGGTTCAGTCCCAAGGTCGTTGTGTGTTACTATACAAACAGAGTTGTTCTATTTCAACTTTCGACTTCTACCTAGAGCATGAAACTGTCCTGAAAGTCCGTTCTTCTGTATCGACACTTGGAGTGTGAATTATTAAAACTGCAGTGTTGTCGTGTGTCAGACATCCGGTATATTTATCGAGTTTCCATTAGTTTGATCTGTATTCAAGATTCTCCATTATTCATAATAAGATTTCCGTAGGATAAAATCATGACGGAATTACGAAACTTAATAACACTCGTTTTCGTGCCATACCTTATTTTTATATCCATTCATGCAATGCATATGTCTAAACTGTAGAAGTTAAACACTAAGCCTATGGAAAAAACAGTCACTGAGAATCAAATGTTCTTGATCACTAAATTATAGTTGTATGGAAAGAACTACAATTGTTATTTGATTATAGGATAAAGCAAGAACAATAAACGGAGAAGTTGATTGCGACTTATCAACTGCTCGGAAAAAAGGGTTGTAAGTACTCAATATTATAAAACTTACAGAAAACTGTTGATTTAGCTCAGAGACACCATAAAGGTAGATTGATAAAGGGCAAAAAATTTGAAATAATTCAGATAATCCATTTTCATGATTGATTACTTATAGAAAAAGTACGCGAAAAATAGGAGGAAACAGAAGAATATGAAGGCGAGACGATACTAGAACTAACCATTGATGTAATTCAAACTAGAAAAATCTATAGTCTAGGCTGACTGGATAAAATGAGCACAGCTCGAATAAAAATACACATGAAAGGGGATTTTTAAATAGATCTTATTAAGTGAATCAAGAAATAGTGGATGTGTTAGTAAAAAAATTATGATTGATGCAGACAACAAATAAAATTAGCATTTTATCAAATTACTGACAAAATGTTTAGTGGAACAATGGAACGTAATATTTAACTTCTGAGTAATGAAAGAATAATAATAAAATAAATCTCACTTCTTTTTGCTCTTTTGTTCCGAATTCGAAAAACTTTTGTATCACATAGTTGCCAAATACATCAGTCATTAGTTTGCCAGAATGTGGTAGTATTTCATTAAAGACTGAATTTTTTTCAGTGGTAGTAGCGGTCTCTAATTTCTGTTGTATAAATCGAGATCCATGTTGATCACGGGCGAATTCGACCATATGATCACGTAACTCTGACAGATGCATGTGTTGGAATCGTGCACTTGAATTTCGAAAATCCTCCAAAAGTTGACTTCGGCTAGACACAGTGGTAACAACGAGTGGAGTAGATGTAGTAATGTTCACACCTAAAAGTAATATAAATATAGGTCTTGAATGAAACCAAATAGATGTTTAGCATTTTAGTACACAATAATTAACACTGATAAGCAATAAAATTTAGTAAATAAGTATAAAGTTGTTATATGCCTCTTTGATCAAACTTACCAACAACCGAACTAGGCCTTGAAGAAGCAGTACCAGATAAAGTCAAAGGAAGTGGTGAAAGTAAAGGGGCTGGAAGTCGCTGGTTGATATTTTGGTGTGATTGAAGAGCAGCAGCATAATTTTGACTTTGTTGAACAGTTTGAGAATGTACGGCAGATAATAGACCAGGACTACGACCAGTAACTACAGGCATAAGGGGTGGTGGAACTGGAGCTCTAGTTCCTAAGAGGGCCGGATGGTTCACTCCAGTAGGTCGAAGATTAGGGTTGGGACCCATGCCAGGCGGTGGGGTAGCAGTAACAGCCACACCCGATGCAGCAGCAAAGGCGGCAGCAAAAGCACGATTTTTATGCATCGATGCTATAAAATAAATTATCAACATTCAGCATTAGCTAGCTAATGGAAAAAGTTTTCATTAAAGCGCGGTTTAAGATGCTACAAATTTTCGTTGAATTGACCTAGGTTTAAGCCACATTTATGCAATTTGCGAAAGACGTGTAGGTAAGTGTACTCAGCTAACAACTATGCCCAATTTACAAGAACTAGTGATACTCCGTTATTTAAGCTGACGTATATAAAAAAGTTTGGACAGATACAAAACAAAGTCACTTCTGGTTTGTATAAATTTTAGTTAATCAATCAGTCAAAATCAACACATATTACGGCACAAATGTGTGTTAACCCAAAAATGCATCTCATTGCAATGTATGTCAACGAAATATAATCCTTTGTATTTGAACAAAAAAGTCAAATAATGAAAAATCAACAGATTTGAGAAAAACACGTCGTTAAAAACCAAGGTGTAAATCTCAACCGTTTTCCATGAAATAATCATATAAAAGTATACAACATATTGTAGTAATGCAATTCAGTTTTATTTGGGCGCCCGGGTTGTATTTCAGCCCTCACACAAATCGAATGACAAAGTGTGGCGCATATATATTTGGTGCCTCCTCGTACCAATGTTTATGTGTTTAAATAAACAGTCAGTTCATTATGAAAAACGTAGAATCTGGCACAAATGAACATGAGTCCAAGTTGCAAAACCGTAACATAGTCAGATAAAATTCCCAAGATATATTAGAGTAATCGAAGTAGTAACATTGTTAATGGTAGTACAGGACATGACTCGAGTAGAAAAAATAAATTTGTGGGATTAAAGGTATAGAATACTGTCAAAACTTGGGGTTTAAAGGGAAACAAAGATTAGCCTATAGCTAAAAAAATGGCCAGCATTATGGTCAGTGACCATATCTACTGACGCCACGTCTCGGTTTGGCCGCCTCTAGATTCCTTCCAACCTCATTCAACGTAGACATTGATTGAGAATAGGTAGACTTTCATATACATAAAAAATAAAGGTGATGGAGTCCATTAGTGTTATTGTACATTAAACTTAACGACCTCCATACTGCAAGTCAGCGTTATTTCACTACGAGTGATCAAAATTGTGATAATGAAAGAATTAAAAAGTAGTACAAGTATAAACAACTAAAAGTGCAAACCATCGAAATAGGTTAATTTACCATCGAAATTGAATGGATATGGTGTGGCTGATGAAAATCCGGTTGAAGCAGATAAAGGAGGTCTTTGAAGTCCTGATGGTGATGTTGGAGAAATATGCATGCTAACAGCTAAAGCTCCAGGAGGTTGCGAAATAGGCATACGACTGTAACTAGATACATCTCCAGCCACCGAGTTGGGACTACCGCTTGCTTCCGGGTGTAGAAGACCAACTGGTGGTAATAGGTTTATTCCCTAAAAGAGAAAAAAATAAAACTATGACATATACACACACAGATACTAAGTACCGAATGATTAATAGAAAAAGAGCTTTAATTTTCACCAAAACAATTATTACAACAACAAACAATGCTCACATTAGGTATCGAAAAGTTGCCTGGGTTTAATCCAGCAACAACCGAACCGGAAGAATACAGGCCTCCAAAATAATTAGATGAATTTGTGACAACACTAGATGTGAACGGAGCAACTAGGGGTGTCGACGAAGTGACAGTTGGAGCAATACAATTTGAAGAATTATTTGATACAACGCTACCACCACTCAGAGCGGTGCTATGTCGTTGTTGTTGTTGTGCAGCATTCATTAACTGTTGTTGAGCTTGGAAAAAAGCAAAAGCTCCAGCGGCAAGACGTGATTGATCTACGATATTATTACCATTTGCGGATGGTGTAATATTATCAATAACTGCATTCGAAGCTGATGATACAACGCAGCCTGGATTGTTTGCCATACCATTAGCTAATTGTTGCATGATCATGAATGCAACATGATTCCACTGTGGTGCTGAAACAAACAACCAGAAATACTCTTCAAATTAAAAGTCTGTGCTAGTGACAAAAATTGAAATATTAAACTGATTCGACATGAAAAAAAAGCAAGTGACTGCAGATAACATTTTGATAGGTGAACACCACAGAGCAATTGCGAGCATGGTATTAGGTTCTTAACTTATAGATTCAATTCAGAACACTCATTTACTAATAATTAAATAAGGATTCAGTGATTACGAATTCATACTTTTTTCAAGAAAAGCTAGTGATTGTGATATGAAAGTAGTGCGCTTTATGACTAAAACCTCTGCAAACAATTTTATATTAGTTTAAACTAAGCCTTGGTAAAAAGAAATAAGTATCTTGAGAGAGCTATAAGGTGATGCAGAAAGTTAACGTTTCGGTCAGTTCAGCTTAAATTTCCCTTTTGAAAGTACTAGCATTTGTGAAAACAATTACTGTTTAATTACCTTATATTTTGCTGAAATTTATTAGATTTTTGACTATTTCTATTTCCATTTCGTACGCAGGATGGTAACACTTTTGGAGTAATATTTTTGGTATGTTATCTCATTTCATCTTCACCACATCGGCCAGACGCTTATTAAGTAGTTCGTAATGACGAGTGATGCGTTAGCTGGTGCTATTCAGTATTAAAAGTAAAGATTTGTATGTTGGAGAACATGTACCTTGGAACTACGTATTTTGTGTAATGCCTAGCGACAAACTATTTGCTTTCTCAAATTGAATTAAGTAGAACATGACAAGCAAAAGAGATTTACGACCCAGTGTTTGTATTCGAAGCATTCACTTCAATAATATATCATCATCTATGATTATACTACTTTTGTAGCCCACTTGGAAGTAACTTTAGTGCAGGACTCCTTCTAAGTAGTTCTCAAACATAATGCAGTACATTCTTTCGACTGGTAAACATGTACTAAATGTTATTTTACTCACTAATTCTGCGTACAGTTTGGGGTCACTGTTATACAGTTCATCTGTACAACTTAAAATATGTTGTCACTGGGATATACGGAGTAAATTATTGTTAATGACACCACAGACTTTATCATAATTTCAGTTTAGAAAACATAATAATTTTTTCTTAATGGGTTTTGTGCATCATAATATTGTATTACTGTATTAATGAATCATTATTTAAAAATTCTTCAACTGATAACAATCAAGGTAGGTAATTTTGTCACAAACTGCCTTCAGCTGATGAACGAAGTTGAAAATTAGGAATTACTATATAGTATTTTTTTGTCATAAATTATGACTTATCAGTTGTGCGTACCTTACAAATGGACTGAATTTCGATCTAAGTAAAATAAGCTATCTTGTGGATTTTAATTTTTACAACTGAAGTCAATGCATGATGAACACCATTACTAGAATGAACAACCTGCAGAAATCTGACCTCAGTATAAAAAATAACTAATTTAAATTAGGCGATACTATACAACAGTCACGGGAAGTAGAGATTGCAATGTAAGAAGCAAACAGTAAAAAGTAACAAAATCAAACCTTGTGAAAGTGGTGGAGGAATTTGACTATTATTATTGTTATTATTATTATTAGCTGCACCTCCTTGTGACATAAAAAGTGTCATAGCCATAGCCATTGATTGCGGGTCCATCATATTTAGTTGAGATGTGGGCGGCATATTATAACCAAATGGAAAATTATTGTTTACAACACTGGATTCACAAAGTGGATTTCCTTCGAAATTTCCTGGTGGTAACTGAGAAACTGAAGATGTGGCTGATACGGCCGCAACTGAGGATAAAGTTGGTGTAGTACAATTACTCGATGAAGGTGAACTAACAGCACATAAGCCAGGTGGCGGCAAAATACCTGGATATTTTGTATAAATATCATTCATAATGTGAGCCTCATTTAGCTGTAGTAAATGAATAAAAATCAATAACTGAGTTATTGGGTGTAAATCAAACACAATTATCCTAAAATTAATACGAGATTCTCCTGTAAACAAGTGACTAATAAATTTTGAACAATCACAGTGAGTGCAAGGTGAGTCAGTCGTACGCAAAGTGAAACCGGACATATGTATGTGTACAACTGTTTAACTTGTCACACCTCATCAGTACAATTAAATGAAATTGTCAGGACGAATACCACAGTAGTACACGTAGTGACAATATTCCTTCTCACTGAAGATATCACACATCTAACATACGATTCAACAATGAAATACCAATTATTCTACTAAACAATTATATAAGATCATTTGGAAACTTACCATTTAAGGGAAGACAAAGAGTGAGTACACTTCAGTCACTCACAACGATTCTCAATAATCTCATTCAAACTCTTCTAATCATTACTCACGACAGTCAGCCAGTTACTAGTCAGGTAGTCTCCACCTATATACATGGTTCACTCCAACGGTCATTGCCTTCATCCACTGATGTCAGCTCTTGGTTTCTCCACACAACCCTACTTTCCTTCCAAATTACTCCCATATCAACCATCTTCGACCGTTGAATTAGTCACTGGTGAACACATCACACATCTCCTAAACATCTCAGTCGATAAACATTCATTATCTCGTCAATCAGCTTACCATTCTTATCTATTTCACTTAATCTAACCTCAGAATTAACCACTCCATGGTCCCAACATATACGGGCAACACTTCGAAGGTATCCATGATCAAATACTAGTAACATATAAATAACCTATGTTCTTAAAGACCGCGTTTTACTATTATAAAGTAGAACGGAGAGAAATGTTGTGTAGTTTGCGTGCTATTAGGTTGCTATACAGATATATCGCTTACGCTACAGGTGACGCAAGTTGGCGAATGTCAACCAGGCTTTCTGGATCCGATCTGACCAGACTTACAAAGTAAGTCTCAACCACTTCATTCTCTATCGTTAGTTAAGGCGTTAACGTAAATCAGTCCTGAAACAATGTTTGCATTTAAAAAGGGATGAAAGTAATCTTTTGATTTTGTTAGTGTTTTAATCAAATAAGACTATATCATCTGCGTATCCTAAATCAACGAATCTCCTGTTGAAGGATAGATTTCTGATAAGTCAGACAGTGAGGTTATTTGCAAAAGAATGTCTACGAAAAAGCTAAATGAAAATGGGAAAAGCTGACAACCCTGACGAGTGAAATATGAATATAGAAATCAAGCACTTATGTGTTTGACACTTAGTAAATGATTTTCAGGCTGATGTATGTCTATTGAGAAAACAATCATTTCGTCACAATCTCTATAGAGCTCGAGTCATTTGCTTCAAAACAATTGTTTCACAGGTGTATTATACATGGCAAACACAACACTTCCTAAATCTAATAAATTCGATCGACACAAACGCAATAGTATAATAACAATAATAAACGGCGCCATGAAGTCCACAACTTATAGCTGAGTGCATTAGACTATTAGGAACTAAACATTGCACATTGTTAAGTAAAAATACCAAAGATTAATAACTAATAATAAGACAATCATAAAAATGCTTCAAATGCATCTTTGAATGTTAACTAACAGTGACCTAATTGTTTTAGTAGCTGTTTGATGTGTGAAACCAGCATTCCAAATCTAGCTAATTTAAGTGTAAAGGAAGTGGCTATTAAAAACAGAAGGGATTGGTGAGTATAAGACATGAATACCTGAAAGGGTGGTCCGAAAGCAGAACCTTGACCACCGACAAAGGAAACAGGAATTTGAAGAGGTGTTGATGATGCTGGCAAAGTACTGATGTTTGCTGAAGGTGTGATAAGTCCTGAACACTCAGACTCAGCTGACTGACCGAAAAGAAACAGTGGAGGGATAGCAAGCAATGAATTTGGCATGGCTGTACTTGAAGGTAATGGGAATAGATTTGACGTAATGGTATCGGACATGGAATTCAAATCAGAATTGGACACTGATGAGCCACGAAAAGCAGTTGAACGAGAATTGATCAAAGTAGAATTAGATTGTGCAAACAATGATGCATTTGATCTAGGCATTGTAACGTCATTAAATGCATCAGACTGATCTTGAAGAACTCGATGTGAATGTTGTAAGGTGTCGATGTCATTCGATTCCGAAACAAGGCCCATTGCAGACCCAAAAAGAATGCCAGGTTGCGTGCTCAGAGGCGAAGATGCTGAAATTGACATAGATGATGTGACGTTGTGTATAGATGATGACCACAGACCTGAAGGTGCATGAGCTCCAAACTCTGGTGCATTTGAATGGTTTATACCATCAGTTTCTGAGTTGTTATACGGTAAGTTAGTCGGTTCAGTGTCCTTACATTCGGGAAACAAATCACGCCATGAAGTTGTATTCTATAACAAAAAGCAACAATGGGAATTCATCTTTATTCGATATTTGTGGAAAAATGTCATTTTTTATTAACACACCTAATTATATAACCAATAAATTATCTAAATCAGTTGTCACTTCTATAGCAATTAAACGACAGACAAGATTTCAGCTTTTTTAATAGACCGGATGCTAGAGTAATCATTGTAATAAATTTTGCCAGTTATAACACTTTTGACGCTTTAATTGACACGGAACATAATTATAATATTTGTGTAACAGAGAAAAATTGAATATAGGCATGGTTAGAGACGTAACTCATTTATCAAGTACAGATTTGTATATTCAGCTTTTAGCCACACATGTTAGTGATAGTCAGTCAGTCAGTCAGTAACAACGTAGAACTTCATACGTACGTGCATCAGTTCGAGTTGAGTGATAGTGAAACAAGACTGTCCAAACCAAAATAGGTGAAGTGTGACCCGAAGTTGTGATCTAATCGAACACCTTAACCACTAAGCCGCCGGCTCAGATAAGGTTACTATTCTAATGAAAGTGAAGGTCAGGACGAACAGTTGAGTGGAGAACACAACCTAAGTAGATTCAGAAACAAAACCGATCATTTTAGTCTGCGTTACTAATAGTAGATTTTAGATTAGGTTAGAAGTGCTTTGCATTGTAGCATATACACCTCAGCTCTCTTAAGAAATATTCTGTTCTTCCAAGTTACATATACTTAGGGTCTGGACCAGACGTGTATTACGCACGCTACTGCTATTTGTTTCTCACAATCACAATGATTTGATACCAAAAACACTTTTTGATTCACATTTTCCTGAATTGATTTTTTTTTAACATATAGATGAAGAACTAGTATTACATAAATAATCACTAAGAACGAACTAAATTAATTATTGTAAGCGTGATTATGTATCAAAAACTTAATGGACTGTAGCCATGGATTGAAAAGAAGACACTTAGTCACGTCTATCCGTTTTTAAAAATTCTCCAGAAGACCATTAACAGTGATTAATTAGTATTTACATAGGAAGGTACAGAAAAAAACATAATATTTACCTACAAATAGATTATAAACATAAAACTTTTAAAATAGACTACTAACCGCTAGACCACAAGCTGTATCCCAATTCCATGGAAGCACTTCATTTTCGGCTCCATTATCAATTCCTAAACCTAAATGGTTATGATTATCTTGTTCTTCCTGACAATTATTTCTGCTGGCGGCGCAATTTCCTACGGCTGTATCTGCTGTAACTGGGTCCTGTGAAGGATCAGGTAACCAAACGTGATGCGAATTGTTTTGGCGAGGTTCCCAGATGGATAACAAATCAAATGGTGCCATGTTAGCGTTTTCTTGAGGGTGTTGGTTCTCTAACCTACCAGGGACGGCTGTCCCATTGGAAGCAGTGAGGTGTCCAAGCTGTCCGGGTAGAGGAGTTATGTCCCCAGTGACACCACTACCCGCAAACGAATGAGCCTCTCCACTAGCTGCGCTATTGTAATTTACTCCGTTGGCACTGAAATTGCCTGAACCAACACTACAATGTGAGTCTCCGAAACAAGAAAGCAGCCCAGAACTGCAATTGCTTCCCCCAGCAGTATCACTTCCAGGTGTTGTACTTATTCGACGCTCTGCACCAACAGCCCAGATCTGATTAGCCCGAGAAGAACCGATTATGGATAGATTATGAAAGTGATGGGGTAGATCAGAGCTACAATCATCAATGTTCTCCTTTGTTTGCATATCTAAGCATACACCTGTAGAGTTAGCACAGTTGGCAGCTATATCAAGTGCATCATCATCAGTTAGACAGAGTGTATCAGGGAGCTGAGGAGCGCCATCTTGAAAAACAGACAGATTGAGATCAGGCTAGAAAAAAGTTAAAATTAAGGAAAAAAGGGAATGAAAAATTAATATTTGATCGCAGGAGCAGCAAATATGACATTGTACATGAATTGATGTCACATTCTACTTTTGGAAGTGTATAAATGTCCACTTTCGAATGGACAGACAGTATCTTAAAGGTGAAGTTTGATTTAAAGAGTGCTGAGCCTGTGAAATCCTTAAAATGAGGATTGACTAGATGTACTTGACTAAAATTAGTTGTAAGACACAAAAGTAAAGTACCATAGTCTAAAAAAAACTGATCAGTGACAGTCGCCATGACCGAATGGCAAATAGTGAACATTCAATACTTTAAAAAGCAGAATGATAACAATATAGTCTTTTGTGCTCAAATCGAAAGATCTTATCGAAAAAATGATATGTGATAATTAAGTTTCTGCAGTTATTCATCAACTACAAACAGTCAAGTACAATTAGGAGTCAGTCAGTCAGCTGCGACATAGAACCACGCACATATATGCATCGATACAAGTTGCCATACCTCATTAACACAACAAGATGAACAACGGATTCATAAAAGTAGTTAATTCAGAGGTGGTAATATATAAAAGAAAGATTGCATATAAGGATATAGTACAGGAAGAAAGAATTAATTCGTAGAAAGAAAGATATGAAGCGATTTTAATCTCTCAGTTTAAGGGAAGACAAAGAGGGTATACACCAACGCCATTGTGATCTATTCTCAGCCACGTCACCAAGTCTCCAACCATTGGTTACGAAAGCCACGCCGACCCCAACCAAGTAGTCTGCATCTACCAACATGGCTTGGACTAGAAGTTCGTCACTTCAAGCACTGATGCCATGTTTTGGTTTGGCCGCCCCTAACCTTCTTCCAACCATCTCCAACACCGGTTAGCATTGCACGTCATGGTAATCGGTGTTCAGGCATACGTAACACGTGGCCCAACCATCTTACTCGATAAAGATTCACAACCTCACCAACTGATTTACCATCATTCCCTAATACCCTGAGTCTAACCTCACTATTACTTACCCGGTGATCGCAGCAGACGCCAGCAATATTTCTAAGGCATCTGTGCTCAAACACTAGTAGCTTACGAGTATCACCTACTCTTAATGGTCATGTTTCGCTGTCGTAAATTAAAACAGAACGGACTGCCGCGCAGTATACTCGTCCTTTTATTGATAGACGGATATCTCGTCTTCGCCATAGGTGACGTAAGGTGGCAAAAGCCAAACGAGCTTTTCGAATGCGTGATGAGATTTCGTAAGACACCAACACATTAGGGCTGATCAGACTTCCAAGATAAGTGAAGTTATTAACGCGTCCGACTAATTCACTCCATATCCTTAGTTCAGGTGTTGACGCAGACCAGTCCGGAAGCAACAGCTTGCATTTAGAGGGAGAGAAGCGCATTCCAAACATCCTGGTATTGTTGCTCAGTGCTACCAGAAGACTGCATTTTATCAGAGTTTCCACCAAACAGGACTATGTCATTTGTGTATTCTAAGTCGATAAGTGGACCTCCTGGAAGGAGATCAATACCCGAGAATCCAGTCGACGAGAATGTTATTTTCAGCGGCAGCTCTATGATGAAGTTGAACAAAAATGGTGATAGTGGACAGCCTTGACGGAAACCACTTGAGGTTGCTAAAGCAGATGACAGTTCGTCATAAGCACTGACTCGACTGGCAGTGTTCGAGTAAAGAGCCTTCACAAGGTTTATGTACTTCTGAGGTACATCTTTCAATGACAGACACTGACACAGAATCTCGCGGTCTACAGAGTCAAATGCTGCTTCCAATTCAAAAAAACTAACATTGTCGGACGCTGATGAGCATGCCTGTGGTCTAAAACCTGATGAATGGTGAATATGTGATCAATACAGCCACGATCAGGTCTGAAGCCAGCCTGATTTTCTCGTGTCTGCAGTTCACGAGTCTTAGTTAGGCGTCCGATAATTATTGAGGCTAGTATTTTAGATGCTATATTAGTCAAACGAATCCCTCTATGGTTGTCACAGGATGATTTTGACCCCTTTTTAAATATTGGGATAATCAGTGGTTGCAACCAGTCAGATAGGATTATGTCAAACTCCCAGATTTTAGCTAAAATATTAGTCAACCTAATCGCTAAAATTGGATAGCCATCCTTAAAGACCTCTGGATCGAATCCATCTGGACCAGCTGCCCTTCCTCGTTTCAGATTAACTATAGCATTTTGAACTTCAGCTAAAGTTTTGGGACCTACTTCAATGTTCCATTCACACTACCTGGGAATGGAGGGTAGTTGTAGAGTAGCTGAATGCCAGCTGAACTGTCTTCTAAAATGTTCTGGGAGCAGATGAGAGTGTCGCCTTTTTCCGAAATAGTCTGACTTACACCTGACTTATTAATTCCAGTTTCCTTTATTAGTCTGTAAAGCTGTCTTGTGTTCCCTATAGCTGCCGCCTTTTTCATCTCTTTTGCTTTTGTTGCCGACCCCTGCTCACGGTCGTTCCTTAGACTTTTGATTATCCTAGACCTGATTTTTTTTCGTTCTTCATCGTGTTCAGAGCCTGACGGGATGAGTTTACGGGAATCTATCAGTGCAGTAGACTTAGTAGAAATCCACTTGTTTTCGTGACCCTTTAAATCAATAATAATAATAATTTTCATAACTGTTCGTATATCTTTCCAAGTAACACCTGGGTCAGACTCGTTTTCAGAAATATCTAAGTATGACCTCGATTGTTCCTGGAATCTACTTTTGGCTTTGTCGTCAATGAGTTCAATTCTAATGGGTCTCTGCATTCAGTGAGGTGCAAGCAAATGCGTGCTTATATTAGAGCATGACTAGAGTCTAAACATATACTCCAGAGCGAGCGGCAGTCTTCTATCGAGCCTCTCCAACGATAACTGATGGCAATATGGTCTATTTGAGTCCATCGTTCGTTTGGTGTAGGGGGTTGCCATGTTAGACGATGTCTCTCTTTACGCTTAAAATTAGTGCTTGGTAAGAATAAACGATTGTATGAGCACAATTGCAGCAGACGGTCACCATTATCTGTTCGCTGAGCCGGAATACCAAAATACCCACCTAGATGTCTTTCTGTTTAGTTTAAGCTACCTACTTGTGCATTAAAGTCACCTGCCATGAGTAGTATATCTGAGCGTTTAGCTTTTTAAAGAAGCTTAGAAAGCTTTCTGTAAAATTCATCTCTCACTTCATCCGGGATGTGGTCAGTGGAAGCGTAGGTAGAAAGGACGAAAAGGCAACGATGTGTGTCCCCATCCTTTCGAGTTCTTACGGGGCCGTTTAGCCGAACAGCACATAGACGACTGTTAACGGGGATCCACTCCAATAGTGCTTGTTCTGTCCCTGTACTTAGTGCTATGAGTACACCTGCCAGTCCACGAGAACTAGTCGTCGGGTCGCCAGATACACAGAGGGTGTATCTCGTTGGCTCTCCGTTTTGCCGAGGTGAGGTCAAGTGAATGACCACACTAGGATCCTGTATGCGTGTTTCAGAGACACAGCAGACATCAATGGTACGAGATTCTAGGGTTTTAGCCAAAGATTTGGCATAGGGTGCGTACCTTGAAGGCTCTAATGTGCAGTTTGGAGCGAGGGTTCAGTAGACCTGGGACAGTATTTCGCGCACTAGAATCGTTGGCCATGGTGACACTTGAGGAAGAAGTCAATAGAGGAAGTTTTAAGTTGATAGTCGAGTTAGGAGGAATAATAGGAATTGAAGAAAGATTGATTATGAATACAGTAATCTTAAGTTCTTTTAGAGGTACGAGGGTGGTTACCACTTCCCGGCTGCCCATACCATGGAAGGGTTCTACCACAAGTACTTCGCCCTCGGACCTTGGGTTTGCTGCTTTTAGTCTTACCGCTTTCCGACCGACCGGTCTGGCATGATAGGACCTTGATGAACGATTGTTCTAGCCAGTATAGCTAGATTGGTTCATCATGATAGACAAGCCCGACCACCACGTCAAGGCGGCAGCAACGTTTAGGAAGTGATATATTGAAGTAGGAATAGTGTTGGTAATAATAGGAGATCAAACAGCTGTCCAGTACATCCTAATTTTCAATATTTCTCCGGCTAAAGTAAGTTTACCTTGAACAATATTATCAAATTGAATTAACTTTTACAATTTTCCATACCTTTAAAATAATCATGTGCTCATAGGTGACTAAGTACAAGATAGATTCGGCAAGTCTAAGCGGAAAGTACTGTCCAATACAGTTCGACTATGTCCAGTATTAGGACTCGGAAGTAAAACATAACACGTGGTACAATTTGACTGTGTTATGAACGTACGAAGCCGATCTCTACCAGAACTAACCAATAAAGAGCTGGACGCAACCATGGCCAATTTTGGACCACGTCACCTAACATCATAAACCGTGGGCTAGTTATTGATTGGATCTTCGTCGCTAAGTCTCTTCCCATAGACACGAATGAGGCCGATGGTTCTGAAATACCCACCAATCCTACGTAAACCAACAATGAATGTCGGGGTTATAGATGACTGAGTGTACATAATAACTGTCGCAATTATTTCAGTCGAAGAAGGTATGTTCACTAACCAGTCGACTTCCCATTCTGATATTTTACTCTACGCCAGAAAATACCATTACTCCCTCGATGGTTTCATCAAGCACCAGGAAATCTTTGAGGACGCCCGTAGTTAAATGCTTTCATCCTACGCAAGTCATTACTTAAGTAGAACATATATCGTAGTGACAGAGTCTACAACAGCATATTAACCTCACTCGCTTCACGTTTTTTGTACAGGTTTTAGGATTTTGTCACCCCACAACCACCGATGCTAGAACTTCCATGATGGATTAAGTAGTTAACGCGATCAATTAACTTTTTGTTTTAAAATGGGTTATGACTTAGACCGGTGCTGAAGCAAAATTTTACTTTCGTGAGGGGTACACGTCCCAAACGTGCATGGAATTTTACTTCGAGCATTTCAATCCGTGTGATTATTAGTGAACAGTTTAGACACAGTCAGACTGACTCCTATGTGATTATCACAAGTATCCCTAGCCTTCTGTAGTAATTGATAAGCAACCGAAACCAGTGGAACCCAATTACATTCAAGGCTCAAACTCCAACTAATAACTAAGTCAATCTGTTAAACCCGAAAATCCACTCGAAAAACTAAGGAGTGAGCCTCGATCCAAATTAATTATAGCCGTTTAAATCTTACTGAGTCGGAGAACTGATGTCGATCTCCGATTCAGGGCATCGGTAAGAAGTTGTCGACTGTAGGGTAGCAGTAGGGTTTTGAATTTCCCTTTAGTATTCCGCTCAGTTTCGGTCACCAGTTTTAAGACTAGATCAAGATTTCATCTTTCTTAGAGATATCTTCGTTACCAGAAGAATTATTAGCCTCAAATCGCTTTATTAAGTCCATCGTTACTTATAATTGCTGCCCTGTGTATTTAATGTCACCACTGAGTAACCGCTTTGATAGCCAACATTCAAGTTTCTCTTAATTCTTATTGCGTTCGTAACATACTAGGATGTACCTCTAAACCCACTAATCAAGCAGGAGCTTTCAGAATCGTGTTCTTTTTCAACCTATGGATTTAGGTTGCCAACGACCATCACTGCCTTTATTATGGATTGAAGATAATATCAGAATGCTCTACGACGAACAATCCATTGGTGGTTGACGAAGCGCTTAGTTAGTTCTACCTTGGGGACACTTGAGATTTTATTCAAGATCAGTTTGTTTCTCCTGGATCCAATATGGAGCAAAAAACTCATTGTCGGAGTGTGATAGTTATGCTATTGAACGGTGAAAAATATCGATATGGTCTATCTGTCCATTGTTGTAGTCTCAAAAGTAGATAGTTTTACAATCTTTCTTTTAGTGCCTAAACTTAGTAAGAATAAACAGCCGTCTGAAAATAGTTTTAACATGCGGAGCTGTAGCATAGTGGGACTGTAACCGTGTTTTGATGAGACCGATGTATATATGGTAAAGACAAACTGAAAATACCGTTTTGATTAGGCTCAAAAATCAAAACATTGAGGGTACTTTCAAGGAAGGCTTAACTACATGATTACTGGGGGATGGACTCTAATCTTTCATACAAATAGCCGTAACGACTGTTAGTAATCTTTATCAGAAAGTTAAGTAAGGTCAGTGAACTAACAAAGTTTCTTTAGAACAAATGGGTGACTGAAAACATCCCCCGGTAAGCTACAAGAACGAAGACAAGAAGGTAACCTTAATATGCGCTAACAGAGGTTTACATAATGACTATGAGGAGTGCTGAACAGTTTAATAACACAGGAAACAGAAAGAATTGTCAATTTTACTAGGTAACAAATGAAAAGACAATTGTTTAAATGTAGAATGAATAGTCTTGAAAAGCTGTTAGTGCAAAAAGTGGAAAAAAGGTGGGCCATAATGATACACTTCCAGCATGCATCTGTGAACTTAACAGTGAAATTCCCACCCATGTTGTTAATAGTCAACCATCATGCAGTTTAATGATTAATTCTTCCAATACAGTTTGATAAAAACTTGGATAACTGTGGTTTGATAAGACGAAAGATTATTAAATATCGAGGTCAAATCTTGAAATAGATTTCCAAATCACTCTAATGAAACATTTCCGAGAAAACAATAAGAAACCGTCTTAAGAATTTTATTTATATCAAAATATTAGTCAAAACCAGTAACCTACGAGTGCAGCAGGCCAATGAGGATGATAACCAATACTTAGCGATTTGCAATTAATGGAACTGGAACCTGGAGTGGTTATTGTCAAATCACCCAAAGAAGTTGTGGAACCGCCAACTGAAAATCCCGGGGGTGGTATTGAAGTAGATAACAAGCCTGTCAGGTCTGGAGTAACACGAGCCGCCTCTTCAGCTGACATGTGTTAACTTGATACCCTCACCAATCCCAAGTATGTACACAGGTTGTAGAGCCAAAGCTCAAATGGGGCTAGAAAAATAAGAAGACCTATTGAAGTTAAAGATGAATAAATGACAAAACTAGTGAGAGGAAATTGATTCGAACCAAAAAAGGAAATAACTGAGGAATCAAGATCTAGATGCATTTCGGCTACATAGTAAACATTATTGAACTAATGTCATAGGAAAAAGAGTCCGATAAATACACACAATAGTCCCAAGAAATAAGTCATAAGACCATAACACAGAGTAGTAAGTTCTACGAGACTTGTGGCTGGATGGTATTCGTTTATTCCTATTTGAAACTTAATGAGTAAAACATTACGAAATACAGGTGCATGAACAACAATTGAACCGAACTTTCCCTGTGTGAGATCCAGGCATACTGTCGGGCTGCCCAAATCTAAACAGGCACGCTAGATTCCGTGGCATAATGGTTAATAACTAAGCACTCTGGTCATTGGCTTAACGTTGACATTTATCACGTTTTGTAAGAAGCTTTAAAAGATGAAGATCGAAGAGTCTAAACATTGTCTTGAGACAGTACTAGTTTTCTAAGTGTATGATAAATAGCTCATTAATATCAATTAATAAAATAAACGAACAGAAAGTAAAGGGAGTGTGAGAAAGTGTGGTCATGAATATCACACAACAATGATTGTGACATACGGCACATTCCTGCTTACACGTCCAAAGCTAGTCGGAATACCATCAGATTGGAACAAAGGCGTAGACTACTCGATCAAAACATGGTGCCAGTATCAAATGGAGTGTAAGTTACCACTTTTTTTCGCAAATGCTAATTTGACTAGTCCTGGAGAGAACATATCACGGATATACTTCGAGAACATCTTTTTTATGAGGACACAATTTCTGCATCACTATTTTCATTTCCTCAGCTTTTTTCGTTGGTTTTCTTTGGTGTAATGTGACGACTAGGACTAATACGTAATCATAACGTTTTACGTTCATTCTATACTCAGAATATTTAAGGTTAACTTATAAGCGTAACTTGAAGAGGTGTGAAGGGTAAGATAGCTTAAGATACCTAGTCCCCTTCAACTTTAATTTGTAAACAATGACCAAATACTTGTAACTCTGTGTGCGTAAACATAAACAAACTCGTATAGATATGCCAGAAAAGTCAGTGGATGACACATTAGATGATACAAACTTAAGACCTGATTGGGAAATGGATTCTAAACCATAAAAATCTGATCATTTCAGTGCATGAGCTACAAGGCGACCTTAGTATTTGATTTTTAGAATCCCATTATTAGAATTGAGATTGTATCAGACAGGAAATGTCTGTGTACTACCCATGTACTACAGATACCCTGAAAAATTATATGAAACTTTTCGAACCAGGGATGGCCAAATGTACGCTTCAGAAAAACTGGAAAACTTTTGGTCCCCAAGAATTAAAGCCAAAAGGGTAACGTTAAATAGTTCAACATACACCTAGTTAGCATACTGATGTCATATCAGTGCTATCTAGGCACAGTAACAGAAAAAAATGGGACAAAGGTGTATTGAAAAAAGGTGGCAATGTCACGTCAATACAGCGACGGAACTGACAACGAGAGATAAATGATTTCAAACAGTATCAACGGTAGTGTGAAACGGATGCAGTCGGAAAGTGGTGTTGAATAGTATAAATACACAAAGCCTAAAGAAGGGTAAACGTAACTGAAGCAACTAATTTTGAATCCTGTCACTTAGTGTCGGACCTAAGATTTTGATTACGAAATTCTACACGGCTTAGTCCAGCCATCAGTGTCTCTGAGGTTTGATAATGTAACTTTTTGGGCAATCCATGGGGCTTTGTTCAGCTAGTATGTTCATGCTTTTCTTCTGCCAAGTCTAAACATTGGTCTGTGAACCTCAGCATTGTTGACATCGTGTTGCCACAGAAGGCAAGCAATAGTTCAAGGATAAAAATAATTGAATAGTTTGAAGGCTAGTTCTATTTCAACCATAAGAGCACAATTGAACTAGATGTCAAATAAGCCTGAAGCTATAGTTTAGTGATCTTTATGACAGTAGCGTTTTACAAAAAAACGAAAGCATGAAATGAGACATAACAGAACCCCTAGAAGGACGTTTTCACTCTTGTTCATTAACCTGTTAGACAACATGTGCTTTGGTTACCAGTTGGATCGATTTTCTTATATTAAGAAGTTGGACTAGAAGCATCTTCAAAGCTGACCTACATTGGTCTACGTACCTTAAAGGCTACACTAAACTTACTTAGGTTGATCTGATCTGAAGTCCAACCACTTATCAATTTATAACTACCACCTACGAAATCTGAACTAAGACTAGTCAGAAGCTTTTGTGACATAAACTGGTTTAAATAAGTACTTAACAGTCTTCGTCGAAAAAGGAAGACATTGAGGAAATTCTGAACATGTAGCTTAGACGACATTCACAACTCATTGGACAGTGCTTCAAATATCTTCTGATTATCTGTTAACTGACCACTATACTATCGTGGTCTGGACAAAATAGTAGTGATTTCACAGTCCCTTATCCAGGATGACAAGTTTACGAGAAACCCAGGAACAAAATGAAAGATGTGAGGCGTTGTCCTCAAGAAAATTCGGCAAATCTATCGGTTGCTAAATTGAAAAGAATAGATCTACCAAGGAAGTATCGATCACCAACCCTAAAAAAGTTGGATATATTTCGTAGTCACAACTTAGACCGATAAAAATGTTGGATTCTACGTTGGGCATGAATAAGCTACATGATCAGGGCACGTTAAGGTTGGTTTACACTAGTAATATTCAAAATGGAGTTCTGAAGGTAGACAGCCAAAAAAAAACATAACTAGAAGTCGGATTTTATTGAGGGTGTGTAGAATGGGTTCTTAATCCTCATTTTGACAATACTTTGTGTTAAGGTCCTATGATAGTTTTTTTCCTTCCTGTTGCCACAGATTCGTTTCACTTGGAAAGATGTACAAGTACAGAGGTTACATGGCATTACCTGCTGGGATAGTCTGGGTTTATGAAGAATTTGAGGTTAAACAATCATCATGCTCCAAAGTTTCTGCACCTAACTACTTCCAAGTTCATCTGAAAGGAACGTTTTTGTTTATTAGGTTTGATTATGTCCACAAGGATACTCAGAACATAAATTAACATAGCCCTGGTAAGTGAGGATGTAAACAAGAAAGTTACCAGTACAGTGGGAGTTTTTCGACTATTTGATATTGTTGGTAGAATAAGTGATATATGACCAACAGAAAGCATATTTTTACAGGTAAGTGCTATGCTTACAAAGAAACCACTAATGGGCTTAGCCAACTATACTGTATTACTTATCAATATAACGATGAGTATCCGACATGAAATTACAAGAACCTGATCAATAGTACAAAGTGATCGTCTTTCGGGATCCTAACCTGGCAGATCTTCGTTCACGAATGTTACCAACAAAACGGGAATCATATAGTGTTTGTACTATATATACCCACTGTGGCTTCATATAAAGGGCTAATGGTAATAAACAAACAACTAATAGAACTCGTTTTAGCCTTTACAACAGGACAGACTCATTGATAGTGTCAAGAGTCCAATCAGGATCTCATATATTAGGATTTTGACAAGATTGCATATTAAGTACGATAAATATAAGCCTAGCATTAACCAGTATATGATTATCGACAAAACCAAACCTTCGAAACTTGCAAGCTGGAATTATATACGAAAAATTCCGCTACTGACTATAGAGATACAGTTAAGTCATTTTCATTTTTGATGATATTTTCAAATATAGATCCATCAACGATAATTCCACTGTAGCTCCAAACAAATCCGAGTAGGGTAGTCAATTCAGGCACTTATTAGATCAATTTTAAAGGCGCAAACTTGTCTCCCGTTTTACATGCATAGAATTATTGAAACTGCAGTTCATACAACTGACTGGCCTTCACAACTCACAAATATGTACAGTATATACAACCGACCCAACGCCCGTATATTCCGCAACTAGCCACAAAATGAGAGAACCTTGAAGCATTTAAACAAAAGATTGTATGTAGAAATATCACTTATTAAATTAAACACTGAACTTCTATATTTTTCCATTGTAAGAAAAGATTGCCAGGGGCTGATAGTTACATGGTTAGTTTGTTACACATGACTGTTGGTAGACTTTGGTCATCCAATTAAAAGATTGGACATATCTTTAACTATCCCACACTTTTTCTACTCTGGGTTTAAAATTTTAAGTAATGATTTTCACTATCTCAGATGCTTTTGTGAGAGATGTACTTCGAAATAACCACTCAAACTTTCTAAATACTATACAGATCTTTCCTAACATTTTTTGTCTTACAGTGTTTAAATGAACCAATGTCCCATTTAATGATATCTGTTTGGGAGATATGACAAGTTTAATTTCATGCAATCTGATTGGTCGACAGCGAGTTTTAATACCAATTTGAACTAAAAAGCAGCATACTTTTCCAGTGACTCAACTGCTGACAGTCTAAAGAGTGATTATTCAGTATTTTGTTTTTCATGCCGATGTGTCGGAAATTACTCCTAGTATTTAGACATGTCAATCAGCCAAGCTGACGCTGATGAAGAATGTCTAGTTTTTCCTGCAATAACTAAAAATTATTCAGAAGTAAAAAATACGGATGGATTATCAGTGGAATTAAACAATACACCACCCAACCCAAACTCTTTTTCTCGACCTCTACGTTCCACTTTAAAAACAAAATCGAAGTTCGAATCCGAAAAAATCAGACAAACTGGTTATAATAGCTCAGAACGAAATAATAAACTATACGCAGTAACTACTAGAGGACAAAAAAATCCTGACAGCTCAATCCATATGATTTATAAATTTGACTCTATGGAGAAAAACGGTGCTATGAAAAGTCAATTCCCAACCCTTAAAAATGACATGGAAGTATGTGATTCGGATCAAACCACTCCATGTGGATCTAAAGAGCATTTAAAGAGGCCTTCTATACAACAGTTAAGAAAGTACTCGGTCGTGGATCCGAATACTCTTAAGTTTATAGAAGGTTAGGATTATTATTATTATTATTATTATTATTATTATTATTATTATTATTATTATTATTATTATTATTATTATTATTATTATTATTATTACTGTGTCATGATATTCGTACCCACTTTTTAGCTTAAATATTGGTTTATCACTTACATTATGAATTTCATACAACACATTGGTTCATTATTTTTGTTCACATTGGCATCAAAACATAATCGTGTAGCATAATTCTTATTGAGGACTTCTTGGAATTCAATATTATTCTAACAATGCACATTGAATTTCTTTATCAGGACAGTATAAGTTATATAGACTTGTTCAACAAAATATTCATCTTTTCTTAAATCTGTTTCTACGTTAAAAATCACTAATTATCTTTTGATCATTTGCATATCAGTATGAAGGTTAGATTAACAGGTTTATAATTGCTCCTTTTAATGTATATACATTAAGATTTCGCTTGATTTGACCATATACCATGATAACTGGTTTTTAAGCAAAATTAATTAACGTGTGAAAAATGAGATTGATATTATTTTCTCCCATCAATTTGATACATAAACTACTCATATTGCTAATAATTAAATACATGTATATAATTTTAACAGGATGTTATACTAGCTTCAACTAGAAACCATAAATTGTTAATACTAAAGAAACTAATGATTAACTGCTAAACTAACATACACACATACACACACATTTTCATTATGGAACTATATTTGTTTGGTTGATCATTGGAAATTAATACACATGTTTCGTCTAGGTCTCAAACTCTTTAATAGCGTATATTCACAACCCTCATGGTAAACATGATGCAATCAGAAAATTGACTCAAGTTAATTCTCTCTGATTGTAAATGATAAATCTCTTGATATTTGATAAAGTTAGAAGAATTAAATGTCAAACATGTTTTTAAAAAAAACTTTGACAAAAAGCAGTTTGACATGGATATTATTTCCATCGGTTCACTAATTCATTTGAAATTCTACACAAAACTACAGAAATTCTTTCATTACAAAATATGTTTGTATATGGTATAGTCAAATTAAACAGTTACTAATTAATCTATTATTAAATAGATTAAAAGAGATTAAAATCGCTTCATATCTTTCTTTCTACGAATTAATTCTTTCTTCCTGTACTATATCCTTATATGCAATCTTTCTTTTATATATTACCACCTCTGAATTAACTACTTTTATGAATCCGGTGTTCATCTTGTTGTGTTAATGAGGTATGGCAACTTGTATCGATGCATATATGTGCCTGATCCTACGTTGTAACTGACTGACTGACTGACTGAATCTATTACTAAATTGGTTAAAATTTATTATTTGAAGGTAAAATGTAATTTATGTGAGACTACTACATAGACTACTATATAACTTCAGACTATCATTAATAAAATACAAAAATCACATAGAATAGTACATTTTTCATTCATCAATAATTTAAACCAAATTCAGATTTTCCTCTATTCAATGACAAAATATAAAACAGATTATGTTAGTGATTTTCTGAATCACTTCCATGGGTAATTGTAACGGCTTGTAATTTTTTATCTTTTTATTTATGACTACTATTGATTAGTTTTTATTAGTATAGTGTATATCCTGAGCAAATTATCTTGATTTAGGTCCTTTCCTAAGTTTTAATATATTCGAATTGCGACTAACACTGAAATGTAAGAAATACATTTCATCCTATCCAGTATTTTTCACTTTAAACGATAACTCATTATCCATTGAGTCATGGAATTCAAAATAGAAAGAAATACACTTTCTGGATTCCGGTCCCAGAAACTAATGAACTTTACTTAAACTTGTGACTAAATGACAATATCATGGCAATTTACTGAGTATGTACCTATCGATTACAGTCCTAAATATAAATAATGGGAGAATATAAACACTTTAAAAAAACAACCTCGGACTCATTGAACACTTTTGTGACTTTCTAGATTCATTTTCTCGGTAGATAACACATAAACATATAAAGTGAAAGGTTCCGGGTTCAGATCTCAATGTAAATGCCATTACTGAACCACAAGTACGTCTAACTGATGAATGTCAAAAAAGAAATAATACACGTCCATAATTCCCCTGCTAGCCGCAATCCATCTCTATTAATAATATCATTCTTATTAGAACTTATTAACAATAATTATGTTTATTCTTATTTCTATTACATTAATGATAATAATAGGTTTACCCATTACTATATTTTAACATTTATTTCATTGGTATCAGAAGGGGTTTTATGGAGATTGTAGTAATTTCAATAGTTGGAATCATGAGTCAACCGTAAAAATCTTCAATCATGTCTAAACTGTATAATATACTTAATGAATAGTATCCCAGTGTATCCATCACTTTCTAATTTGTTCAAGAAAAAAAACAGTAGAAAAACGTATAATAACGGCTATGATTCTTTTTGGTTTCTCGTTTCTATCTCAATATTTCAATATCGTTATTTATTATTTATTTGTTTAAACATATATATTGGTACAATTGGGCACCGAATACATATGAGCCACACAAATCTCATTTGACTTGTGTGAGAGCTGGGATACTGCCCGGGTGCCCAAACCGAAGTAGTTGGTTTTCTTAGGGGGCCACAACCGGAGCCTTCGACCTGAAGGTCGAATTGTTCATTCAATCAAAGTATTAATTACATAATTCATATTAAGTAATGTGTAAATAGATACATCATTGATGCGTAAATACATACAATTTAATACCATACTGTCTAATATTAGTTATGGTTCAGTAAATTCTATCTATAAAATTTCTAAAAAAAATAATACAATAATAGTGTTAAATTAAAAGTAGTAAAGGTGAATTGAATTTTTTCATGGGTAATTGATGTACAAACTCCGCCTGTAGCTCTTATAGGGTTGCTGCCGGTCCCAAGCCCGGGTAAAGGAGGAGGGTTGGGCATGGGGTTATGAAGACCTCAACATCTGAAGGAAAACACGGAATACAATGGACAGCTCAGAACCAATTAGACGATTTGGACTTCGCAGATGACCTAGCCCTCCTATCACGTACACACGAGCAGATGCAGATGAAGACAGCCAGTGTAGCAGCAGTCTCCGCATCAGTAGGCCTCAGCATACACAAAGGGAAAACCAAGGTCCTCAAATTCAAAGCGGAGAACAGCAATCCAATCACACTTGATGGCGAAACTCTGGAAGATGTAGAGTCCTTCACATACCTGGGAAGCATCATCGATGAAGAAGGAGGATCCGATGCAGACGTAAAGGCGAGGATTGACAAAGCAAGGGTCGTATTCCTACAATTGAACGAACATATGGAACTCAAAACAACTTTCAACCAATATCAAAGTCACAATCTTCAATACGAACGTCAAGGCAGTTCTACTGTATGGAGCTGAAACTTGGAGAACTACAATAACCATCATCAAGAAAGTACAAGTATTTATAAATAGCTGTCTACGCAAGATACTCAACATCCATTGGCCGGATACCATCAGCAATAGCCAACTGTGGGAGAGAACAAACCAACTTCCAGCTGAAGAAGAAATTAGGAAAAGACGATGGAAATGGATAGGACATACATTACGCAAATCGTCAAACTGCATCACGAGTCAAGCCCTAACTTGGAATCCTGAAGGGAAGCGAAAAAGAGGAAGGCCAAAGAACACATTGCGTCGGATAATAGAAGCAGATATGAAAAAGATGAATTACAACTGGACGGAGCTAGAAAGGATTGCCCAGGACAGGTTGGGTGGAGAATGCTGGTGAGCGGCCTATGCTCCTTCACGAGGAGTAACAGGCGTAAGTAAGTAAGTAAGTAATTGATGTACAGTAATTAACTGAACAATTAAGTTTGTACACTTGGTATTGTTTACTTGAATCTTCTCATTGATGTTTAGGATTGCAATTAATCAGTTTCTTATTACCATATGTGCATCCTATGTGGATTACCTCGATAT